AAATTATTGTTCGTATTTATAATTGTAGCACTGTGAAGTTTTCACATGTATGTACAGAGGAATTTTTTGGCTAAAATCAGCCATGCAGTTTTATATACTTGGGTTTATGGCCGTAAGCATTCACATTTCAACTGACTGAGTAGGAAACGATTGATATTTCCAGTTTTAGCTTCTCCTGTTGCTTATACAAAATGTGATGTGTTCTCACCCAAAGACACAAAATATTAGTTCAAACTAAAATTCAAATATTTGTGAGTTTCTTTTTCTTCTTTTTTTCCCCACCTTGAAGAGAGAGGAGCAGGGAGCATTTCCCTTGCCCATGAAAAGTGGGCCTCCCTGCTTGCTCCGAAGCCTCAGGGGGCTGGTCTGAACCAGGCTCTTCCCTACCCCCAGACCCTGCAGGACACTGGGAGGTTGGGTGCAAAGAGAATATTATTTGAGCCGTTCCAGTCTCAAAGGTGCATCAGATACTTTTTGAGACAATACTGCTGCAGAGTACTGTTGGGGACAGGGTGCATTTCATTCGAGCAAGCTTTCTTTGAGCAGTAGCCTATATTTTCTCATCTTCAGTCTCCTGTTGTTTCCTATCCATTTCATGTTTTTCCCTTCTATGTTTTCCTTGTACTCTGATAGTAAGGCAAAAATGGCTGAGCCATAGCGGATTCAAGTGTTACAGGATCACAGGAGGAGCTTGGTTGAACGAGACCTTTGGAGGACACGGCTCCAAGTGCTGCTCAGAGCGGGATAGCTTTGAAGTCTTTTTCTTTTTTCCCCCCATTTATCAGCTCAGTTTATGCAGTGGATGAACTACAATTGCTGAGGAGTAAAGGAGTTCACTGTGACCCGTGTGCTAATGTGGTCAAGTGCTTAGTTCAAGATGTGAAATGGTTGTATAGCTGTAAATGCAGTGCGTCCAACTACATCTGTATTTAGTATTCGTTTAAAAAAAAACACTCCTAATCCTTTGTGTGGTATTTCGATATACTATTGAAATGGAAGGTTATACATAACAATTGCAAGAGTACTGTATCATGTTTTTAAAAATAATTACTTTCTAAACTAGAAAATTTGTATTTTCGGAATTACTTTTTGGTTATGCAATGTGTTTATAATACATACCTATATGTATTATTTTTCTATAATCTTAACCTCAGAGAATTTTACAGAGGCTCTAGTTACAAATATTGTTAAAATGATCTTCAGTTTATAGATTAGGAAACTGAGGGCAAAAAAAAAAACATGAAATGCTTTGCCCAAGTTGGTCAAGCAAGGCAGAGTCAACAGGAGAATCTCCTAGATACTGGATCTGTTCTTTCTCCAGTTAATCAAGTCATCTGTCTGTATTTTTGGTAAATGGGGATTTGTTACTAAATCCCTGTGGGCATGGCTAGTTGCATGTTGAAACAACTGCATTGGAAATAGTCGTGGACAGGAGTGATTTGACCAATTACCTCTTTTAGAAATAGGACGGATAATGTGCAGAAAGCCTCTACTTGTCAGGGCAGCCCGTTACTCTGCATTTGCTGCCTCCGAATGTTGCTCAGCTTTCGTGTCACTAGTTTGCCATCAACGACAGCGTGGGCAGGGAGCGGAACCAGCGCAGGCAGCGAGGCGGGAGCCAGCCCTGCAGGCGGAAAGGCGAGTGGCACCCGGCCCGGAGGGCTCTCTAACGCCTACGGGCCCTTCATCTGGGTAAAACATGGGTCCACGCTTTGCAATACTGAGAACTTTGCATTCTTGGACATGTAAAAACCCACTTCTTTCATTTCCTTAGGGAGTTGTCATACCGTTAGCTGAAACATGGCAGAATACCCATAAGCTCTTGCTCTGACGTGTAAACGGAGGCGGAACAGATGTAGGGCAAGAAGTTTTCCAGACGCTGATTTTTCAATCATAAGTCTCTTCAATATGACAGATTATGTTGAGTTTTAACCAATTGCATTAAATAATTACTAAGTTAACCTTAATCTCAGCTGTTTTTCTCTATAGTAACAGAAGAAGCAAATTCCAGAACTATTTGTTTTCAAATGAATTGTTTAAAAACTGTTGCATTTACCTGAACCTTAACAATCCTTGGGCTTTCTCAAATGAGATTATGTTGAATTAAATGCTGTGACTTTTTGTTTTTTTAAGATCCTCTTACAGTAATTGTAGGAAAAAGTTATTTCTTGCTATTTTATCAGTATTTTGTGATCTTGATTCTGAAAGTCTGAATTGTAGGAAAAAGTTATTTCTTGCTAAAGAAAAACTCAGCAAAAGCTTTAAGTAAGCAGTTTCCAGTTTGGGGTGACTAAAGCTGTCATTAAATACAAATAGATATAGATTTAAATAAATGCAAGAAATGGCTGAATTTAACGATTCTTTTGCAAAAGAGAAGTCTTTCTCAGATTCAAATTTGCAAAAGCTGTTTCAAGGAAACTTCAGCAAAACACAGGAGGTGAAGGTAAGGAAAAAGGGGAATAGAAAGAACTATGTTAGGCACAATTACTAAATCCTAAGGCAGCCAAAAACCGCAGACAAAGATTTTATTGCTTTTATTTGCATTTCTTAAAGGAATTAGGAAACAGTAATTTATTTAAAGTCTCATAAACAAGTGAGGAAAGTTTTCTTTGTGGGGAAACTGTCTCTGTTTGATTCTAATCTCACTACACCAGGTTTCTGTGCCAGGTGCCTTATCAGACAGGCATTTTTTCATTATTAATTTTCTAGCCAGAAGCAACAGAACAGTAGCAAATCTTTGAGGCAAATGATACAGAGTTATCGTGGTGTATTCCCAGGAGAGCAGAAAAAGGACTTTCTTGCCTGATCTTCTGTTTATCTCTTTACACACAGTATCTGTACAGAGTAAGATACCTTTAGGCTGTCCCAACTATCAGGTGTGGAGTACTTCTGAGAATATGTAAATTCACCCTTTTATAGTTAAAATGTTGGTGGAGGGGGAAATACGATAGCACATTAATGATTCTGTAATTCTTTGAGATATCATGCAGGTTGGTGTAAGTCTTTTCATTATTGCAGACTGGGTTGAAATACATACAGTTAGGATGCTTTCCTTATTTCATATCAATACATCCTCTAAAAATTACCTATGTATTATAATGTTACGCATTATAGTTACATTACAAATGAGAGACTCCAGTGTCTCGACACTTTCTCATTGTGTGTACCTGGATGAGTCATAGTTAATATGTCTCAGTCTACTTCTTTTTAAACAAGCATAATACAAATCAGTGAAAAAGATGGCTAAAAAAAGAGGTCAGCTGACAGCTGGTTTCTTACAGAATCTTCATGATAGTTCCACATCCCTTTTTTAAGGGGGAATCGAATCTGTGCTCATGTCAGCCCTGTTCCAATTTGTGCACCATCTTTCTGGTTATGTTTCTTGTTCAGCTAGCTGGTCTTACTTCTTTAGCAAGTGAGTTACATGTGCACATACTGCTTTATTCGAGCTTTGTTACAAATAATATGTGCAGTGTAGGAATTTATCTCAACCTTTATAATGGACTTGCCACTTGTTTATCAGTTGGAGCAGTGACAGGCTTAGAAATGGATTTTCTAGCTCCTTGTGCGTGCTCATTCAGTTTTATTGTTACTGTTTATTATTACAATTAAATAAGTGTTTGTGTTCTCATTTGTCATCAGTATTCCTTCTACATGTTACATACCTTCAGCTCAGCAGTGTATGAAAGAAGAGTTCACACGCCATTTTTTCTTTCTATGTAAGTTGTAAATATTAAAGATTAATGAAGTTTCTCATGCAGTGGCAAACCTTCAAATTATCAACTCTTATGGGATTATTTTTGTAACAAGCAGTAGAGTTTCTTGATAGTACAGTATTTGGAACAGTGTGTGGCTTTGAGTTTCTTTTCCCGTATATGAAATGGAGTCGATATAGGACCTATTTTCAATTAAATTAGGAAAGTGTAACCTAATCCTTCAGTTGAAGACCTGCAAATCCCAGTCTTCCTGTACATATTAATAATCACGTCTGGTTTAATAAACTCGTCTTAGAATTTCTTAGTTTGAGAAAAACAATAGAACTTGCCTTGCATTTGGAAAGGCATGCACACATGTGCACGGAGTGCTGCAAACACTCTGAAGTTTTGCTGGGCCACTGAGTAGGAATTTGGTGCAGTAAATTGACTGGGAATGTTAAAGCCTTTTGAGTAGTTCTAGTCTAGACTCTTGGAAGGGGTCTCCAATTCTACACCTCCCTCATTATTGCAAACCTTGCTCATAGGCAGAAAGCAGCTTTAATTTATAATGATTTGAAATAATTTGAGAGTCTGATTTTCTGCAGGAGTTATAGAAGCTTCATGTACATGCTCGAGAGTTTAGGATTCTTAAAACTATAGAAGAGATGAGACATTCCATTCATTTAGTGTAGTTGTTTTTGATTTACATGTGTGATACTTCAAAAGAAGAATAAAACATGACTTTGAAATGAAGTCTTACCTAATTATTTTTATCATTGATAAGTATTTTCTATGTACTGCACATTTCTTACATGGTTCATAATATTGGAGATCTTATTGGAGATTCTCATTGATTCTGTACCCCATACATGCCACATTTCACCTCTTCTAAAATACTATTCTCGTCAGTAGCATTTCCAAGAAGTGAGAACTCTGGTTTCAGTTAGAAGTTCCAACATCTGAATGTATGAAGAGTAGCTCTGTGAATGTAGCCCCTGCCTGCCTTTGAGGCATTGCAATGTTCTTGCTAATTTTCATGAAGCAAAAAGTGGTTTTCCAGGTGTTTGCTCTAATGTTGTGAATTACCAGAGTTTGCAACTAATAAAAATGAAAATTACAACTGTGAATATCATCATGCTTGTATAAGTCTTAAGGCAGAAACTGGCACATGCAGTTTTTGGGAATGCACAACATACCTTGTGTAAAGCTTTATGTACCCTTTATTTCTGTGGTAGGTCACTCCCTTCCCTGTGACAGATGCTGATGCTAAATAACCAACCTCTTTCTGTTTCGAATTTCTTGTAGATTGAGGAAATGCAGTGGGGTAAAGGAGTGCGTGAAATCCCATCCTCAGTCTGCAGTCTCCCATGCAAACCAGGAGAGAGGAAGAAGATGGTCAAGGGGATGCCTTGCTGTTGGCACTGTGAGCTCTGTGATGGGTACCAGTACCAGGCTGATGAGGTGACTTGTTTACTCTGCTCATACAACGAGAGACCCAATGAGAACCGGACTGGCTGCCGCTCAATACCCATTGTCAAGCTGGAATGGCATTCTCCATGGGCCGTGATACCCGTCTTTTTGGCCATGCTTGGAATTATTGCCACCATTTTTGTAATGGCAACGTTCATTCGATATAATGACACTCCCATTGTCCGGGCTTCTGGAAGGGAACTCAGCTATGTCCTATTAACAGGGATATTTCTTTGTTACATAATTACTTTCCTGATGATTGCCAAACCGAATGTGGCAGTGTGCTCTTTCCGACGTATCTTTTTGGGCTTGGGGATGTGCATCAGCTACGCGGCCCTGTTAACTAAAACAAACCGCATCTACCGCATATTTGAACAGGGCAAAAAATCAGTGACAGCACCTAGGCTTATAAGCCCAACATCACAGCTGGCAATCACATCAAGCTTAATATCTGTTCAGCTTCTAGGTGTATTTATTTGGTTTGCAGTTGACCCTCCCAACATCATCATAGATTATGATGAGCAAAAAACTATGAACCCTGATGAAGCCAGAGGAGTTCTCAAATGTGACATTACGGATCTACAAATCATTTGTTCCTTGGGTTATAGCATTCTTCTAATGGTTACATGTACTGTGTATGCCATCAAGACTCGGGGTGTCCCAGAGAATTTTAATGAAGCTAAACCCATTGGATTCACTATGTACACTACCTGTATAGTGTGGCTTGCCTTCATTCCAATATTTTTTGGCACTGCCCAGTCAGCTGAAAAGGTAGGTGAAAATGAGTAAGTATGCATCTGATATATCGGGTTTGATTGCTGTTATAAATTAGGCACTAAAGTTTAACTTTAAGCAGATTTTAAAATGAGCTATTAGTTAAACTCATTACTGAGACATGTGCAATATATATGCACCGTTTTCCTTTTCCAGTTAGCTGGTAGGCTAGTCATTTGATAAACTGGCAAATAGCAATCAGATGAGCCATTAGTTTTATTGTTGCATCCATTTCAATAGTATCTTTTCAGTAGTCAAAATGGGAATTAGCTGTCATATCACCCAAAGAGACACCTCTTAACTAAATCATTTTTGATCACAAGATATAAGCTATGAATCTGTCAAAAAGTACTCTTGTAGATGTCTGTATTCTGGAGTTCAGCTCTGAGGGCAGTGAGTAGTTGTCTGATGAGTGCTCTGCTTCACAAATAGCAGCCTCAGGGCATATTTGCACCGCAGGGTAAATAGCCTGTCATGAGCTCCAGATGCTGAGGCTAGGCTGGCACTATTATCTGCACTAGTTGTGCAGATAAACTAGCTTGGGTAGACTTACCCTGGCTTATGGCATGGGTATAGTCAAGAGTCCTGGAGTGAAATATTAAATTGCCTGTCCTCACAAGTCACTTGCCTTTAAGCCAATGGCCATATCAAAATGTTATAAATATACTGGTTAAGAAGGAAAATAATAATAATAATAATAAAGCAAACACTGGAATCTCATCCATTATTTGGATTGTTATAAAAATGAATCATTTCAAAGTGATTGCAAATTCAATTAAAAGATTCCCATCATCCTTGAGAGACATTGGATATGGCTCAACATGACTCTGCATTTTTATCTTTTTGTTACGGAGTTCACATGCACTTGCAGTTCTGTTTTCATCTGTGCATCTTAGAAAAATACACTCCTAGTAGCACAGGAAAGATATGCATGTGAAAAGATGCAAAAGTGGTCAATTGAAGGCTTTGCTGGCAATAGAATTCAGTTTTAAAGTGCTCTAATTTAAAAGTATAAGGTAAATCAGCTCTGCTGAAGCTAGTAGAACTGTCCCAGTTACCTGGGATCCTGACCTGGTGTCGTGCAGTTGATGCAGTTAACAATTTAGATACCAACATTATCTGCCTTGGTTTTTCCTTGCACAGAATAACAAGGAGAAAGTTACTGTCTTCTTCCCACTGTATTTGTCTTCTTTCTATTATATTTAGTGGTGGGAATGATGGCTCTGGAGAAGGAAGGCAAAAGACTGGAACCAAAGGGCAGTATGATTATTTTCCCAAACATTGTCCAAAACTCTATTAGCAAGAGAAAATCTTTTCAGATTTGCCCTTAAAAAGGGGTTTCACTGTGCGTTTTGAATAAACTGTATTCAAGAGGTGAAAAAATGATCCAGTACTGATTAAGCATTACAGCTTTGGTTGCCTCCCATGTCTTAGGCCCTTTCTGCACTTCCTTGTTGCTGCCAAAGTAGCACCAGCTGATGCTTAGTGATACAGATCTGATTTTAATCTTCTCTGAAACATCTTTGGTAATAGCTGTGATTTCAAAGTGTTTTGGCAAATACCTGGAGAAATGGAAATATTAGGCTGTACTGAGTTATTCTTGGAACCTCCCCAGCCATGACCCTTCCTTCTTAAAAGCGTGTGGAAACAGCCATGTCTACTCTAAATAGTAATGATCCAAAGTAAGGTATGGATTTGGTATTCTTAAACGCCTTTTACCAGTTTTCTAAATGAAAACACCTGCTGTGGTCTAGGACCTGGACTTGGCTAGTCAGGGCTCCAGCTTAATCCATGCACTTGGCTTTTTTCTGTTGACTTAGGCAGTTCTGAAGGCATGCATCCAGCCTATAGGAAGCTACACAAATGTGTACTTGTGCACCATCTAGACAGAAGAGCAAGTTAATTTGCTTTACTTCAAGTGTTTTTGTAGAGATTTTGTGCAGATTAAGTAGTGTCCTGATAGTTATTCTCAGCTGCTGTACCCAAACTTCCTTATGTAGCTTCTTGCTCCTTTTGTCCCTATGTCTTTGTTTAACACCTATCTTAATTTAACATACAGCTAGGGTAAGCTCACTAGTATGGGTAGAATTCTATCATTTTTGGATGACTGAGGAAATTTCGCATCCCAGCTAATATAATTCATTTTGTACTATGGTAGAACGGATGTCACTTCCAATGTCTTTTTGGAAGAATTTTGTTCTTTATAATTCAAGAGGCTTGTCATACAGAGATTAATAGTTTGTTGCAGCCTGAGTTTATGGGTGCAAGAAGTGATACCCCAGTAGAGGCATATGAGAGGTTATGTACGAGAGAAATTGTGGAGGTGTATGTGTTTTCTCAAATATTGTCTCACCTCTGCTTTTCAGGCAATCACTACATCCCTAAAGGGAAATAATCTCAACTGAAGAAGGCTCACAAATATTTCAAATCCTTCAGCCACGTTGAGGGACAGATAAGAACTAGCGTAAGCAGCTTTGAACACAGTAGGGTCTGTTTGTAGCTTTGTTGCGATGCAGTGAGCACAATGCAGCACTTGTGCTGTTCGCCCAGGAACACTGTGGGTCTGCAGGTGGCAACCAGAAGGCGTTGATTTAAATTGTTGCCTGCAAAGATTTAACCAGATAATAGAAAGATGCAGTAATCTCAAAGGCTGCTGCCAGAGGTGAAGATCACTTAGTAGCTGGAGTTTTAGATATTCATGTAGTTAAAAAGCTGAATTAGGTAGTACTTCTTTGAAAGCCTGCGATTCTTGTACAAAGTCACATATTCCATCTAAAGGCATGGTTTCTAACTTAATCTTGGACAGAGCACAGATGATGTACTAGAAGAAGCAAATAGTCTTTCTGCGTTTCAAGCGCGCGCGTGCGGCCAGCGAGGCGAGAGCGCCCTTGGCTGTGCGCGCAGCCAGGGCCGTGCGAGGACGCGAGTCCTGCTCGCGCTTCCCAGCAGCTCCTGGGCTTAGCCCCCTTCTTCTGACTGACAGACAACTCGGCACGATGATACTTGTGCCACATGAGTATACACAAAATAGCTAAATATTGTTAGGTATTCCCCAACAGATGGCCTGTCTGACTCCTATAGCTGATAGTTGTTCCCTCATGTAGGCTGTAATGGACAAGCAGTGAGATGTTCCAAATTTGAACTACAAACCAGAAAAACCTTTTTTACAGAGATCAATCTTTTTTTTTTTTTTTTTGGATTGCATTTTTTGTGATTGCTAGTGATTTCCTGACAGATATTTCCACACAGGTCTTAACCAGAACAGAAATTGCATCTGCCGAAAATCCCATGCAACACAATCTTTTAAACTGAGAAATTGTGCTATATAAAATGTTGTGATTTTCATCTCATGGTCTTATTTTATCTTAGCAATAAATGCAAGTATAATGTGGTTTGGTAGGAAGCATATTAAGATTACTTTCTCAGTGTAGAAAGTAACTTCGTGGGGGGAGAAATAGAATGAAAGTATGTTGCTGGTAATTCATCACAGGAAAATTATGTAGGCATTAGTACTTGCAACAGCCTGCAGGGAGGTGGTATGGGTTTGATGAAGGCCCAGTATCAAAGAGCTTGTGGTATAGGATAGAGCTAAAAACATTCAAGTTATATGTGAGGTGATCTGTGAAATGCATTGATTCCTGTCCTCTTTGCAGCTTGCATTTAGTCAGGCCATTTCTTCGTCTGCTAGTTAAAAGCTCAAAATGTACCTGGCTGGTTGCAGTTCAGGGGCTTGTTGGATAATGCCCTGTGCTATGTCTTTGGTGGTAGTGGGTGGGAGGGTACTTGGACTTAGGAGATTTTACCGTTCCTTGCATTTCTTTGGCTTTTCTATGGCATTCACATACGCATTTTGTCATGCCCACAAAACTTGGCATTGTCTAGGGACTTCTTGGGAATTTCTGTATAATATTGAGCACATGTTCTAAAACACTGTGGTACCTTACGCGCAGCCGTGACGACACAGTAGCAGAGACTGGAATCATAGCAGGTCTTTCCTCAGAAAGATCATTCCTTCAAGATGCATTTGGTAGAAAGCCACCAACCCTGGAGCCAGCTGCTGCAGAGAACGGCAGGTCACCACCAGCGACCCCAGAGCAGCGTTAATGCTGCGAGCGCCCGACGCTGGGAGCTGGCGGCCTTGGCCTCCTCGTGCAGGCAGCAGCGCGCCTTGGTGCCACACAGCGCTGAACCTGCACCTTTGGAGAGGGGCTCCGTGGTGAAACATCAGCTGTGCTTTGCTGCTGTAATTGTTTCTGACAACAAAACTATTTTAAATTCTCAGGGGATGTGTGGGTATCTTCTCAGAAACAAAGTGGCCTCAAAGAACTGTTAAGCCAATTACAGGAGTCATAGTTTCATGCGGGAGTCAATATGAAGTGGCACTTGAAAGAGCACAGATTGCTCTGTAAGGTCAGGTGAAGCACAACTAAATCAATAAACCAAATTGAGTCAAAATATTAGAGGCCAAAAGTAAAGGGATAGGAAGGAATGCAAGATGTTTGTGTAAGAACATAGATATTCCTCTGGAAACTTCCTCTCTTCACTGCCTACGCAGAATTCTCTGGCCCAGGTAATGATCCCCTAGCAATTTGCTGCTGATTTGTTAATCAGTTTTTACGTGGTTGTCTCATGTTAATTCAGAACATTCTTCCCCTTGTCCTGCAGCATGTGACACTGCAAGGACTTAGTCGTGCCAGGGTGTGCGTGGTGCCCTGGGCCTGGCAGCGCGAGGCGGCGCTTGGCTCTGCTCCCGGCCGGCAGCGTCCCCGCGTGGGGCACGACATAGTGCTTCAGAGAGAGGCACCGTTTCCTGGCCATGCACTCACATCTGAACAGTGTTTCAGAAGATGTGTTTTGGATTAACATGGTTTTGTCAGGTTGCACCTTTTCAGTTCTCCTTGTTTTGATTATATTCCTTTTGCAAACGTTGTACAGAGAAACAGTAATACAGAACATGTGGTACGTTCTAATACAGCTTGGAAATACTTACTGATTCCTAGATGGCACTAACAATTTGCTTTTTTATTACTACTATATCTTGATATAAATATTTTTAGAACTTGCATCTCTGAAAATTATCCGAGGCAACACTTATGGATTAAAAGTAGAGAAAAATGAAGCAAAGGGTGGGGCAAAGCATCTGTAGTAAATCAGTAAATCAGTGTAACAGGTAGAGGCTTTGAGGGTTTTTTTTCTGCATCTGAAAAATCATCAATTCATTGTTAGGAAATTTTAGTATATTTTTTTTAGTATAGTATTGTTGAGTTTTTGATTAAATGAGTTTTAAAAGATAGGCAAGACTGGCAGACAGAAATAGATCTCCC